TGTCCATGTGTTCGGACGACACGAGTCGCTTTCATAGTGTGTCATTCCGGCGTGCCCGCCAACTTCGGTTACACTCGGCTTCTTTCGACATCCCAAACACACGGACATGGAAAACTTTCATTGTGTGCAATCCCAGTGGCACAGGGAGAGGGTAAGATTTACCCACGATCTGACAGCACTGAAGAATGTCCTTTTGTACTGGCCCAGCAGGGCGTACCGACTGGGAGTGAGAAGTGGGGAGGCGAGAGGTGGGGGTAACTAGAGGGGCGCTTCGGTAGTTACTAGTAGTTGATCGATGCTCACAATGAGTATCGATCTAGAGTTTTAATCGATGGAGGTGGATGCGCGTGAATTTTGAATACTGCTAATTACCGTATGATCCTTTCGGATCGTACATACTCCCCCCGTTGAGAGTGTAACGATCAATGATATTCCTAATACATGTGTTGTGTTGTGCGCTTGTTACATTCAATTTTACAATACTTTCGACCTAGGTCATTGAATCAGTTAAGTATACCGCTAGTTGTATAAGTTATTGAACATGTTCATTTGATTGCTTATGATATAACGCTGGACGTATTCGCTGAATCACTCAGCGTATCTCTGCTGACTTGGTCAGCATTCTCGGATAATCGCTGGTCAGGCGATCTTCTCATACGTACGTCTCATACGTACGAGATGTACGTACAAGGGAATAGTTGTGTCTTAAAGATAATAGAAAAAATTAACAATGATTTAACAATGGACAAATAGTTATTGCATTGCGCTTGACAATTCCATGGACCGTCTTCACGGTGACCACTCGTTTCGCTTGACAACATCGTAAACCGTCTTCACGGTGAATACTTCGTATTGATAGTGGACAAAGAGTTGTCACACCTTTCTTGACGACTCCGTGAACAGTTTTCACGGCTATCTCATGTATAGTTGATTTGTCAATGAGAATGACGGTGGTGTTCCTCTGATTTTATGCTGGGGTTGGGTCCATTTCTAGCGTTTTTTTTTTTTGGAATGTGTTTCCATGAAGACAATCGATTAGCTGGAGTCTTAGTATAGTTCTCCTTCGACAATGTCGTAAACGTTCCTTTAATCTAAAAGAAATGTGCAGGCGTTAGTATAGTTGCGTCWTTTAAATCTGACGAAATAAGGCTTAACGGGCGTAAATTTAAAATAGCTTCGATTTCGATAACGAATGTGGTCTACTTCTTCGTATGCGAAAAGCAATACGCTGTTTTCAACCTTTCTCTTTCGGCGTGACATTGTAAGTCTTGCACGATTTTTAAAACGCGTCGTTCCGTTTCTGTTATTTCTGCGGTAGACAATTCTCCCTTATATGAGTTAGTTTTAAGCCATCGTCAGCATCGAGTTACAATTTTTAATAATCGCGTGTAACTAGAGAATCGCTGAAATATGCTTCTTGATTCAATTCACGTCGTTAATACCGATAATCTCTTTACGTCCGGCAATTAGAGAAATTCCCTTTCCATGCATCGTTCCTTTAGGAAATCGCGCGGAAACATTCTCCTCGATAAAGCGTCCGCTGGGTTGTCTTCGGATCGCACATATCGCCATGTGATACCTACACAGATTTCTTGTATTTAGCGCACGCGATTTGCAGAGTATATTTTTAACGTACTGGAGTCTCTTTTCAGCTAACCTAGTACAATCATCGAATCGGACCAAAAGGTTATCTTGTCGGGTTTCAATCCGTCGGCAGTTCGGACTTCTCTATATAATCGCGCGAGTGTTAATGCTCCGCATAACTCTAAACGTGGTATAGTGGTATCCTTAAGGGGAGCCACACGACCTTTCGCGCAAAGTAGACGTACATATGTGTTACCGAATTTATCTCGCGATCTTAAATATAAGCAGCCGCCGTAACCAGATTGACTCACGTCGCAAAAACCATGCACTTGCACGTCAATCGGGTCGTCGAGTGTAATGCGTCTTTCTATCGTTAAACTGTCAATTAATGTCAATTGTTCTGCGAACGATATCCACGAGGTATGT